TTGTATAGTGCTCCATTGACCAAAAAAATAAGATAAAATAAAATAAAATAAAAATAAAGGGAGTAATTATTGGGAAGGTTTTTAACAGAGCTGCTTATAATATTACTTGTGAAATCAAGACAGGTATTGAAATTTGCTCCCTTTAGAGTTCATGAAGTTATGATAAAATTTTTTGGCCTGTTGCATGAAATTTTCTGCACCAGCAAAACTTTCATTAGCATATGGAATCTATACCAATTTCTAAATAGCTGGGGAAGCTTCTTAACAGCTTTTCACATTGTATTTTGAATTTCAGGCTGGATTGATTGTGATGGGTCACATGCTGTGGATCCATGATGACCGAGTAGAAGCCTACTCTCCTAGAATGCCACAGTATTAAAAGAACCCATGTGGAATGCCACTCTCTGAAGGAGAGACTGTAGTTAGGATGCTTTCTGGGTGCTTGTCAGGAAAACCCTGTCCGTATATTATTTTCCCAGGGCAGTACAAACTTTGAATTAATTACTAGTTTGGATTTTTTTTTAATAGAAAGTCAAGGCTAAAGTCTTGCCTACAATTAAGTGATTATTCCAGCATAGTTAAGTGGCCAACTCCACACAGCATAGATGCATTTATACTGGTACAAAAGTGTTTATTTATAATATCAGTTTAGGTTATTCCAGTTCAGTGAAGTGAAATAAGCGATACCACAGTACAACATCTTTTACTGATGTAACTGCATCTGCATTAGGACTTTTATTGGTATAATTGTGCAAATAGAAAAAAAAATCATACCCTTACTGGTATAACAATATCAGTAAAACATTTTAAATTTAGACCAGGCCTAAGAAATGAACTTGAATATCAAGTATTTCGAGAAGATTAAGCCCTAAACATTAACCTCAGCCCTGGTGCTCACATTTTAGAATACAGTCTTTCTAGAGTTAAGTTTGACACTTGTTTGCATCATAAAACCTTAATTAATTCTGAAAACTTTTGGACTAGAAAATTAGTTTGGCCTGAAAATTGTCTCATCTATTCTTAAGGCAAAGTTGATTAATTTTTTTTTCATATTTTTCAGAAATATTCTAACTGTTCCTTTTAAAAAAACAGTTTAATAAAATATTACAACAATTTGAAACTTATTTTTGTCCAATGTTCTCATCTCCCTCAGGACTGTCTTATTAATACTAACTAAACATAAAAATTTGGGGAGGTACGTGTTCTTAAAAACTCATGATCAGCTAGGTTTGAAGAAAATAGATTGTAATTATGCAAAGTTATTAACTATTTTTGGTTTTGTTCCAATAATGTTTTGAGTAGGATCAGAAATTGTGTGTGTGTGTTGCCCTATATTGCTAGGTTGCCTTTTAGAAAGAACCTAATGATCATTTTGGATAGCAGCCAATGGAGCTTTTCTTCTAGTTCAAAGGAAGAGGCCTGCATTTTTCAGAGCTAAAGCAACAGGGTTTCTGTCCCGACTCTGAAAATGTGTATTTCATTAAGGAGAAAGGATTTTCTTAATTGTTGGTGTTGGTAAATAGCCTAGAATTGTCACTTCTAGAACTGGGGATTCAAACCATTCTTTTGTTTCAAGTTACATTACTTTAATTTTATCTGTACTAGAGTTAAACCATCCTAGATTAAAAGTAATAAAAAAAGACAAAATTAGGCATGATCATATTTATATAAGCTATTAAGATATTGTTCCTAAAATTGAAACTTACTGTGACTCATCTGATGCACTAATCATGTATTCATTGCAGTATGCATGTATAACTATGATTTCATTAACTGACTTTGTTATACAAGTAGTTGTGAAATGTTATAGCTGGATCTACAAGATGGCAAGTAGACAAAGCAAAGATTATACATTGTTTCAGGAGAACAGCGGTGAGAAATATTCACATCCCAAGAGAAAAACCAAATTATCAATCAGATTTATAGATTTAGTTTATGATATTTAAAAGACCTAAGCCAATATTTTTCAAAAGGGTGAAGTAATTATGTTGAGTACCTCAGGTTTTTCTAGATGCCCAACTTGAAATACCTTAAAGGGGCCTGATTTTCAGAAGGAAGGTGTCTGAGGCTATGTCTAGACTGCAGGCTTCTTTAGGAAGAACCTTTTTCTGGAAGAGATCTTCCGAAAAAAGTCTTCCAAAAGAGAACATCCACTCACAAAAGCGCATCGAAAAAAAGATCTGCTTGTTTGAAAGGGAGCGTCCACACTGAATGGATGTTATCTCACATTTAAGCTGTGATTACTATGGACAGAGTGGCCACCAGGGCACCTGTGCTTTTTCCTCTTCTTTCAAAAGAACACCCTCTTTCCCGTCCCCACTCGTCTTTTTTCGAAAGAGCTCTTTTGCAAAAAGGCTTCTTCCTCATAGAAAAAGGATTACCAATGCCGGAAAAACCTCTCTGTTCTTTCAATACTTTCAGAAGAATGTGATTGCAGTGTGGATGTAACTCAGGTTTTGTCAGAAAAACGGCTGTAATGTAGTTATACCCTGAGACCTTTTATGGCATTTCAAATTGGGAACCCAAACAGCTAATCCCTTTTAAAAATCTTGAGTCCTCTGGTAATTGAACTGACAATATTCAGCAACCAGGCCCTTCATTGGTGTGTGTTTCTTAGAAGTTATAAGCTACAGGGAGGGGGAGAATTAAACTGGGGAGTGCCAACTCATTTTCACAGCAATATTATATGACAAAGTCTACATAAGTTGTTAAATACTGTAGATATTTTTAGATGTACCCTTATTTGAAGGGCATGAGTGGGACCTAAATAGTGTATAGACCTGATGTTTTCCCTGAACTACAGATTAATTCCACTCACATGTATTTCCCCTCACTCAGTAATGAATACTGGCACACAGTATGCAGGTTCAGATACTTCAGTTAAATGCAATGAGACATAACTCAAGATAGATAGTGCTTGGTCCTGCCGTGAGGACAAGGGATTGGACTCAATGACCTCTCAAGATCCCTTCGAGTTCTAGTGTTCTATGATTCTATGGTGGACACAGAGAAGATAAATTTAATCATACCAAGATAAATACTAAGGACACCCATGGTCATAAGTAGATTAACTTTGAATACTGTGTTAAGTGAGTATTTTCCTTATCTAAAACATCTGTGCTGTCATGGCAGTAGAAAAGCAAGAAAACAATTAAAACTACTCATTGCTAATTCACCACTCTGAAGGAAAACGTGTATAGCGATGCAGGTGAGTCTTAGTCCATAGTCACACCACATCCATGAAAAGTGTTTGCTATTTATATTGGTTGATTTCCCATCCCTCCATACTCAGAAGAATAGTACATCAGCTGCTGGAATTAGAATTCTGTCCTCTGTACAAGAGATTAAATTCACTCCTGTGTGGATGGCCAGCGCACAGAACATGGACCACTTAAATCCAAGAGAAAGATTTGATAATTGTCCATTGTACAGGGGTAAATTTCACCCAATGGGAGTTTTCCTTGGGTAACTCCTACAGGATTGAGTTCTCCATTATAAATGGCTTGTGACCTTGTCTCACATGTTTTTTCTAATATGAAACAGGTTAGCTAAAAACAGGGAATCGTTTACCATTTTGAAATGAAAACTAAACATACTCTGTTCCCTCAAATATATTCACCTGCATGAATAGCGATGTGTGGAGAAACTTGAGACATCCAAAGCTCCTCTGGATATTACGTAAGAATTAATTTGAAAATGAAATTCTAGTGCATAATTTTTACTGTCTTACAGAACAAGGATTTTGGCACACTTTGGCTTAAAAAATTGAGGACACTAATGGTTTAGAAGATGCAGAGCCCGTTGATCTATTTTTACCTACAGAGGCTCTAGTATTGGCAACAATTTTCAGAGGGGTAGCTATGTTAATCTGTTTCAGCAAAAACAATGAGGAGTCCTGTGGCCCTTAAAGACTAACAGATTTATCTGGGCATAAGGTTTCATAGGCTGTAGTCTACTTGGTCAGATGCAATACATGGAAACTTCAGTTTGGCAGGGATATACACATGCAAAGGTGGATGAGTTACTCTAAGGACCAGTGCTAATGAGATATATTCAGGGTGGATGTTGCCCACTCCCATCACTTGATGAGAAGGTGTGAATATGAAAAGTATTGGCAACCATCACGGCAGTGTCCCAACACCAACAAAGTTCTAATTTACCATTCCTTTGCACAAAAAGAGTGTAAAATGCTACTGAGTCAGAATGATTGCTTTTCAGTGGCTATACCAGGAGCAGGACAAAGGAGGATCAAGCCTAAAATCTCTCTCTTTTCCTTCTTTGCTGTGAAGAACTGTGCTTACATTTAAAGTCAGACAGGATTGTTATAAAAAAAAGTTGCTGTCTGAAGGTTCTTCAGCAGCCTGTGTGTAGTTTGTGAATTCCAGTCCTGATCCCAACTGGTATTTTTGTTGGCAATCTCAGCAAAAAAAGCACAGCTCTAAAATAAGCTCTTGTGGTTGGTCCCAGAAGGATTGAGCTCATAGGCATTATGGGAGCATGCTTTGCCCTTGTCTTATTTTAGATATTTTGTAAGTAAGCCAAGGAATTCAGCATCCACAGAGCTGTCAATCAGGTATCTTTTAAAAATTAGTTAATTCCTGTTAAACCACAGCCCCAAAAAGGTATGTATTATTGACACTAAAATCGGGGGTGGGGTGTTACCAACTTAAACTGCCATAGTTCTGGGCTAAAGACAACATTGAAATTAGGATCTTGATTTTGAACACAGACATTTGGGAAAATGTCAGATTCAAGATTCGGGTTTGTCCTGTTCTAAAGAGGGAGTTGCTGTTTGTACAATTCTGAACCACATCTGCATTGGGATTGAAAACTTCCATTGCCAAAGCTTACATGTGTTGGAACTGGATGGGTGGGTCAAGACTATTCTACGAAACCTCTTCACTGTCACCCCAGGGATTAGCATTTCTATAAGACCCTCCCTCCAAAGTGAATGTGTCAGGGGACTAAAAATTTCATGAGAAATGTTTTTGTCCCCCCAGCTCTCGTCGTGCGCTTCCTGACCAGACGGTTCATCTGGGAGTATGACCCCACTCTAGGTAGGTTACATTTTATTCTAAATACGTACAGAGTTCTGCAGGTACTGGCTCTTTAGAAGCAATGCAGAGGTATGGAGTAAAGATTCCAAAGCCTCATTCATCCTTTACATAAGATGTGAAAGCTCCTCCGAAGTAAATCCCTAGCTAGAATTAACAGCCAACAGATATGGCATAGCCAAGAGGTAGACGTACATTCAGAAAAAAAGCTGGATGGTACATGGGTTTAAAACCTGCCCCTGTTGGAGTTAACATTGGTTTTGCCAATGATTGCTGTGGGGCTAGGATTTGACCCATGGAAATAAAGATGTTAGCTTTCTGCTTTCTGCTCGGGAAGAATTCTCAATAGGGGTGAAGGGAAGAACAATTCTGCGGACAATAATTTCCTGCATAAGCTGTGCAAATCACTTGGGGCCATTGGAATGCACAGAACTTCTGATAAAACACTGCAGATGCCTAAATGCAGGTGCCTACATTTCTGCAGTGAGTCTGTGTTTATACCTCTGAGTAGTCACGCTGTTGCTTCCATCTCCCACCTAAGCCCCTCAGGCTAAACATGTACCTGCTAGGCGTGATCAAAGACTACCTACTGGACCAAGCCCCCATAGGCCAGCTCACACAAAACAGTTGGGGTAGGAGCAGAGAGGATGACCTTCTCCCATGTTGCACTGTGGATAAATGAGAGTCATTGGAGCAGAGGGGCTGGATCCTGGGTCTCCCACATTCTGACAAGTGCTTTACCCACCAGACAACAGAGTCACTCTCCTGCTTCTGCTCACTCTGTCTCCCAAATGACCACCCCTGTCATTGGCTTCTTGCAATACCTGGCCAAGAACTGCAGGCAGAAATAGAAATTGCCTTGCAGCCTGGACATGGGCATTTATCCCTGGAGAGAGGAGGACAGGGCTTGGCATACCTTGCTGAGCTTAGGATGCTCCCCGCTGGCTTTTGTGAACAACATTTGAAGGTGCCTCACTCTTCCCGGTCATTATATAAGGAGCCAAAGCATCTAACACAGGCTTCCTGAATGGCAATGACTTTCTAAGCACCTAAACGTTACAGGTTGACACACACTGTCATGTCACCGAACTGCTTTTGAAAGTTCAGCCCCAGACCTACCAGCAGGGATGAAAGGGGAAAAAGGATCAGTGGTTTTAGGGCCCAGTGATTCAAATGGCCCTGAAGCTCTTGGCTGCCACCATTGCTCCAGTATCAGTGGCCAGAGCCCTGGGTCCTTTAAATCACTGGAGCACTATGCCATGTGCTCTGTGTATTTCTTTAGTGAGGAAGGCTGGCTGCCCCCGTCCTGCCCCTTCTATTTCTGTGCCCCGCCTTTTCCAGGACCATAGAGACGGACCCTCCCTCCAGCTTACCCAGAGGCCCACGCAGGCTGTTGGCGCCCCTGTTCAGCCCTCAGTCCCAAGTTTTAAAAAGGAGTCTCCAATTTTGGGTGACCACCTTGAAACACGCAGGTCCTTACCACAGGTCTTGAGCACCCAGATCTCCCACCAGTTTCAATCTCAGTGGTGCTGGTGTTTGGCACTTCTTGGAATTGGGCCCGAAGTGCTGCAGATTTGGCCTTCAAACAGCAAAATAACCTAAATTACAGGCCTCTTTTGAAAATCTGGGGCCTGATGTTTTTACAAGTGCTAAGGAATTACAACTTTGCTTGCTCAGCACTACTGAAAATGAGGTCCTAAACGTCTGAAGCTGGACACCCAAATGTTAAGGCACACAAAAGTAGAATCCATCTTTGGACCTGTACAGCTAAGTGACTTGCGTGGGGTTACGGAAGGAGGAAGTGACCACAAGATCACCTTTCCTCTTGTGATCCTCTGTTGTCTCCTTCCTAACCCTCCTTCCTTCTACAAAGGGTACTCAACTTCCAGGGCTGCTACTCCATTAACCTCCTCTCAGTTAGGCTAAAAAGGGTAAAAAACAAGGGTTATCTCAGGCTAGGGTCTACTACAAACCATCTACCCAGGCAAAAGAGGAGGATGAGGCTTTTTTAAAACAAACAAAATCATCCAAAGCACAGGATTTGGTAGTGATGGGGGACTTCAGCTATCCAGACATCTTTTGGGAAATTAACACAGCAGGACACGGATTATCCAATAAGTTTTTGGACTGCACTGGAGACAATTTGTTTTTTTATTTCAGAAGGTTGAGAGTGCTACTGGGGGGGAAGCTGCTCTAGATTTGATTTTAACAAATAGGGAGGAACTGATTGAAAATTTGAAAGCAGAAGGCAGCTTGGGTGAAAGTGATCATGAAATCATAGAGTTTATGATTCTAAAGAATGGTAGAAAGGAGAACAGCAAAATAGAGACAATGGATTTCAAGAAGGCGGATTTTAGTAAACTCAGAGCTGGTAGGTATGGTCCCATGGGAAGCAAGACTAAGAGGAAAAACAATTGAAGGCAGTTGGCAATTTTTAAAAGGACATCATTAAGGGACCAAAGCAAACTATTCCACTGTATATAGGAAAGATAGAAAGCATAGTAAGAGACCACCTTAGCTTAACCTGGAGATCTTACATGATCTAAAAATTCCAAAAGAGTCATATACAAGTGAAAATTAGGTCAGATTACAAAGGATGAATATAAGCAAAAGACTCAAGTATTCAGGGGCAAGATTAGAAAGGCGAAGGCACAAAACAAGCTCAATCTAACTAAAGACATAAAGTGTAACAAGAAGACATTCTACAAATATATTCGAAGCAAGCAAATATTGGTCAAACATTGGAATAAATTGCCTAAGGAGGTTGTCGAATCTCCATCATTGGATATATTTAAGAACAGTTTGGATAGACCTCGATCAGCGGTGCTTGAGAGAAGTCTGGGGGGTACGTCAACACAACTAAAATTTGGAGAAAACTGAATGTTTGTTTTAAGTTTTTACAGCATTTTTATTATTTTTGTACTTCTTATACCCCAAAATGTCATTGCTCACCCGGCTACGATTAAGTTTTTTAAACATGTGTTGTAACGGTTGTATGTGTCTGAAAACTGTAGGTATTGGGGGTACTTATTTTTTTTTTAAAAGAGGTACTTTATTAAAAAAAAAAAAGTTGAGAAATACTGATCTAGATGGAGCTTGGTCCTGCCATGAAGGCAGGGGACTGGACTTGATCTCTTAAGATCCCTTCCAGTTCCAGTATTCTATGATTAATTAAATTCTACATATTCATCTAATTTTGGAGATAACTATCTGATACAGCTGCTGTGACGGTAAGGATGTTGAGCTGTTCAGATGGAAGAGACTACAAATACCAGAACTAACCAATGCCATCAATTGGACATTAATCAGTGATAAGAGCCTCTGACGGAAGCACTTAGATTGAAAAACAAATGTGTGCACACCGGCGTTCTCTAAAGAGAATACTGGATCTATCCTTATAATTGTGGTCATCCTTTGGGGGCTTATAGCACTTAGGCATCTCATTACATGCCATATAGCTGGATTTACTATGACTTTTTTATGGAAAGAGGTTTATTTTGTTTTGTTCTGTTTCTCTGAAGATTATATCAATCTGTTTCTCTGTTTAAAGCAAAATAAACTGCATCAGTGTGACACTTAGCCTGCAGTGAGAATAAGCATGTTTGTCAAGTGACTTTTCAAACATAGAACTGCAACAGATGCATACCACCCGGCTACTAAGCAACAAGAGATTTTGCCAGAAATACTGAGGCTGCAAGAGAAAAAAAGATGAAGTAATAAAATCCCTGGTCCTTCTGTAATTTGTGAAAAGAACGATACATCTTAGATGAAAAGGAGTTTATGGGATTCAGTACCGTTTTCAGACAAAAAATGAGAGACTCCATGTTTCCTCTGCATGTATTATATAAGGGCATCTACAAGTCCTTAGTTCTAATGTTGAGATGCCACTCATATGAAGAGGAAGCATGAAAAGATGCATCGCTTTGCTAAGAACCCTTGGTGCATGGAGCTCTCATTTAAAGTTATGGTTTTGCAGCACTCGGGTTGCACACAAAGTATTATTTCTGTGCATGTTCCCTGTGTGACATCTTGGGCAATTTCCTTCCATATCCTGGACAAAACATATTGTATTAAGCTAAAGTTTATTGAATTAAGTTTGCATATCATTCTGGGCCAGAGAGGGTGTATGTAATTTCATAACGGAGTGGGCCTATGACCCTCTAGTCTAGGAACTATCAACTGGGAGTGGTTTGGCAAATTGACGCAAGTTGTAACACTTCCAAAGAGATTCTACTACTATCTGTGCAGGTGCTCACTTATAATGGTTCATATGGGAGTCTGTTGGTACTAGGGATGTTAAAACAGTTGACCTGGTTAAATGTTTTAAGCTAGGTCCACCACACAGCCTCTCCACAGCTGTGGGGTCCCACTGCAGACAGGGTCCTGGGGCTGGGACAGCTCCAACTTGGCATGGTTAGCCACCACCAGAGTTAACTGGCAAATGCTGGTTAACTGGTAAGCCTCAAGCTTATCAGTATGCTTACAGGTTAACCTTTTAACATCCCTAAATTAGGCACGAATAGACAGCTCGAATTAAAATTTACTCTGGATTTTTTTTCTGAACCAACAAATGGACAGGACATTCTGTTTAGGAGGAACCCCAATCCGTCCTAGGAAGGCTTGGAAGTACCTGGGCCAGTTGTTGTTCTGAGCAAAAAGGTATCACAAACTTGTAATCATGGAATAAACCATTAGTGGTGTTTGAAGGATTGTCACCAGCCAGACACCTTAGAATGAGGAGTTGATCTCTATTAAGCTTATTAACATTTGTGTAGATTCTTTTACTATTTTTAATATATTTTATCTTTAATGCTCTTACCTTAAAGATAAACGTGCTTGCTTAGAAAATGTCATGTAGTAACAGCATACGCTGTGTACTGTCTCTGAGGAGAACATTAATGCAGGCCGCTTAAGAAGCCTGCTTTTGCTGAGGAATTCTTATTGCAGACAAGGAGCTGTTAGCTTAGAAATACCAACTGAGGAAGGAGGGAGACATGTGTCAC